TGTTTGTTGGAGGGCCCTGGCAGCTCTTCTCGGACACGGTAGACTCTCCAGTTCTTGCTAGTTGAGTGTTATGGTAACACGTCTCTTCTGTGTACTGCTTTGAGGGAAGTTATGAAACCTGCTGATTCAGGGATGTTGGCAGCCCAGATCCCGGATGAAAGCTTTCAGGAGGAAGTGACATTTAGGTTGACTTGTAAGGACTAGTAGGGTTCATTGTGGAGAGAGGGAACAGCGGAGATGGAAAGGGGAGAACTCGGTAGTGGGGTTGCAGCTTGCATGGAGGACTGAAGTGGGGGACCTGTTCTATAGTGTTCTGTGCTGTGCACATGTAACGGTGGGGGGTGTGAATGTGAGTGTATATACGTAAAGGTGTGAACATGGATGGGTGTTTGAACATACACTCGATGGTGCATATGTGTTTGTATGTATGTATGTGTAGGAGAGAAAGAGAAAGAGAGAGAGAACGAACACATATTTGGGGGGGTCTTTCTTGGGTCAGGAAGTGATGTGGGATTCCCCTCTGGATGCTGTGAAAATGTTTTATTACCAATGATTAATAAAGAAGCTGCTTAGGACTAAGACAGTGTAGAATAGAACAAATAGGAATTCCAAGCAGAGAAAGAGGCAGAAAGAAGGCAGAGTCAGGGAGATGCCACGTAGCTCCCGAAGGAGACAGGCACCTGAAACCTTGCCAATAAACCACGAGCCTCATGGTAAAATACAGAATAACAGGAATGGGTTAATTTAAGCTGTAAGAGTTAGCTAAAACTATGCCTAAGCTGTTGGCCAAGCACTGTTGTAATTCATACAGTTTCTGTGTGATTATTTAGGGTCTGGGTGGCTGGGAAATGAACCAGCAGCCCCCGCCTACAAAGAAGCGTAGCAAACCATGGGGCTGGAGTGATAAGAGAGATCTTGTCTGGATCCTGGAGTGACATGCATGGTTTCAGGTCCTGGCAAACAGAACACTTTCTATTAACCACTCCCTTCCTCACTGGACAAATGAGGTGTGTGACTAGCTTCAAATATTGGTTTGTTTGGAAATCAGTCTTTAAGTCTAATAGCCTGGATCAGAATCAGGCCAGGCTCTTCACTCATTCTGGAGCCAGAAGCTTGAGTCTCAAGGTGGCAACTGAGTGACACTTTCCTTCCCGGCAGTGTGCTCCCGAACCCCATCTCACCCCTGATTCCTCCCCTTGCTTAGCTGACTACATCAGGGAACTGGAATAGATTGATTCCTGCTTGTTTTGATTTATTGAATTTTTTAATATTTTATATGTTAGCGTGCTTGTTCTTAATTTACAGAGACTATGCATGGGATGATTATATCTATCCATCTTTAAGTAACAAAGCACACAGTAAATTAAGTTGTCCTTGACTTATACAACACCCTTGATTAAATTTTGGGCAAGTCAGTGGTCTTCAGGAATACGAAGGAATTGTGCTGCTCACCAGAAGAGTTATGCCCCTCCCCCCCTCTCTCCCCTCCCTAAACCATATCTTGATGCAAAACCAATCAGCAGTCTCTTTTTCTGAGCTGAGAGGGCAAGGCTCAGAGAGACGCCTGGATGTTCCAGCAACATCCTGGCTCCATTTATGTCCTTTCTTTGCTTTCCTCTTTGTCTTTTCATGTATTTCTAAATTATGCTACCTTGCTATTTTTCCCACATATCCTTGTAAAGCCCCTCGAATCCTTTTCAGGGACAATGAAGGTTATAAGTTTTCAAAAATAAATAGTATGAAGAAAGCATACGGTGAATTATGCACTATCTACTTAAGAACAACTGACTGTTTTCCAGCATTGTCGGACTTTAACTTATTTTAAGGTTGAACGGCTTGAGATGGAAAGAGGAGACACGCTGCTAGGCTCCCGGGTGCTGGTCCTGTGTTTCTATCACACTCTTCAGCATAGATGATTTGCTCCTAGGATGTGGGGAAGCGTGTTCAAGGACCCCAAAGAGACAGCATCCAAAGAAAGGGCTTCTCTCCAGTGCAGTCTAGTTCTACAAGGGGCCATCGGTGCTTTGTTGAACTCTGCATCCAGATAGGAGATGGGCCAACACAGCACAGCGATCCCCAAGGAGGGCTAGGCCCTAATTCTCCTCAGGAGTGAGGAGACCCCAGACAGCCCAGTAGCCTGGGCTACTCCACTGTGGAAAAAAGGCTCTTTGCTTTTCCAGTCAGACTGGGTCAGAGAGGAGTTTGGCTTGGAGTCTGGGGGATTAAGCAACCTCTTAGAGGGCGGCAGAGTGGCTGGGAAACAGCCATTAGGAGATGGATGTTCATTTGGATTACAGGGTAGTGCTTGGGGCGAGGAGGTAGCAATGCAATCGTATAAAATAGTGCTGCTGCAGGACTGGCTGGATTGAAGAGTTACAAGGAATTAGGCAAAGGGTTTTACTTCCTATGCATTTAAACTAGGACTTCTAAATTTAAACCCTTTTTTGCAGCGGGGGGGGATGCTTTCTATGAAAGAAAGAAAAGTATATTCATGGATCTTGGTTTGAGAAACAGCGATTTATGTCATGCGTTTTCTGAGAATCCATGCTCTCTGTAGGGAGCCAGTCATGTGCATCTGTGCATATAGCAATGTGTTTACTGCCTATGTGTGTGCTGGGGTGTGGTAAGTGTGTGTGCACAGCATGTGTGTGGGTGTGAAGAATGTGTGTGGTGACATCCCTCCTGTGATGGTATCTGTATTGAGTGTGGTATGCAGGCTACACACATGTATATGGCATGAAGTGGTATATGTGTTTGTGTTAGTGTAACATATGTATGGTATGTGCCATGCATATGATACAACATGACATTGATGCTGTCAAACACTATGACTCCCTTGGATCAGGAGCTAGCATGCTAGTACCGTTTTGTTCACGCCTTCCGTGGAGGCGGTGATAGAGGACATCCAGGCGTGTTCTGGTAACCGCTATGTGTTCTGTTTCAATCTGAAAGTGGAATGAGAAGAGAATATGATGACCATACTTTGGGTGGGGTGGTATGCAAACAGGTGGGTGATTCAAGGCAGATGGGGGCAGCTTGCCTCTTTTCTAGATACCTTAGAAAGAGCTGGTCTCTCATAAGAGAAGACTGGGTGTTGAGGAGCAGAAACACATCTCCCCTTTTATGAGACAAAGCGGTGCGAGAAAGGAAGCCCTGTGAACTGAGTGTGGAGGGGAGGAGGTCTGAAGCACGGTTGACGGAGAGCAGTGCTGTGGCCCTTTGTTCTGGTAACAGTGAGGGACATCCAGCTCACAGTTGGTCTGCTTATATGTCACCCTTCCTACAAAATGTCGAGAGACTAGTCAAGAAACATGCATGCTTCCAAAGTCAAATTTTAATATATATAAATAAATATAAAATATATAAATCTAAAATAAATAAAATGCAACATTTTAACATAGCACGCAACATATTAACATAGCACGCAACATATTAACATTGCATGCAATACTCTAGCCTGGAGACAAAGCCCTCTTGCAAGCAAATGAGACTTGGAAGAGTGTGCTGTGTCTGAAGGATGACCTGGGCACCTTGGTCAGATGCAGGGCCTCCCTGGGTAAATTTGGGCTGAAACTTGATCATCCGCATTTCTTACGAGTTTCCAGCGCAGAAAGAAGCTGCTGGACCACGGACTGCACATCCTTGAGCAGAAAAGTTTTACTTATATTTTTAAAAACTATGTTCTTTTCATGGATGATCTAGCAGATTCATAAAGCATAGTTCGTCTGGTAATTCGTATCTTTATCTGTTACTGTGCAATGTTGTTTATTTTGTTTGCAATTATTAAAACTATTATAATATGCAACCTTTGTGGGGTTGCTACTGCCTGCCAGGAACTGTTCTACATCCCTTATTTGTACTAAATCACGTAATTCTTACAACCACCCTCTGGGGTAGATATTATTATTATCCCCATTTTACAGAAAAGAATAATAAAAGGAAATAAAAAATATATTTCTATAAATTCTGTTAGTCTTTACTGTGATTCAAATATAATATATAAATCTATTAATAATAACTTTGAAATAAAATCCAAGGCTTTTGTTTTTTGGGGAAAGTCTAGTAAGCTATAACTATTTATATTATGAAGGTCAAATACCAACAGCTCCGCAGGATTCAGTCAGAGAACTTAGGGAAACTGTCCAGTCTTACTTCAGCCCACAAGTACATCACACGAGCTAAGGAGAGTGTCTTTCAAAAAACAATCTTTACATTTTCTTGTTGTGTGGGATGGGGCGTTAATGCCATGGCATGAATGTGGCAGCCAGAGGGGGATTCTCTGGTGGTCAGAGTTAATTCTCTTCTTCCACCGCACAGGCTCTGATGGTGAAATCCAGATCACCAACCTCTGCCGCCAGCTCCTTTACCTCCTGAGCCATGTTGCTGGCCCTAGGCAGTGGTATTTCTAATTGATCATGGGGTACTATGCTTTCTTGCTTAGAAACCAACCAACCAACAAACGCAGACTCAAGAGTGACTTTCCTACATTATGCTCCCACAAAATTCATCGCGTGTGCTGAGTGGAGCAGCTTTGCATTCTAACTACGATAATACAAACAAATGTTGACAAATGGGCCCAAGCATGAGCTCACGGCTTCACTGGGACAGGAGAGCAGCCCGGAAACAGCCTGATTCGAACTTTTATCCAAAGGCAGGTTGCTGTGATCAAAGTAGATATTCCCCATTGTATCTTTTCTTTGGGGATCCTATTATGCAGATGAGGTAGGTCACATGGCCAGACTATGTTTTGAAACCAGCAACCATATACCTCTTATCCAGTATCTTTTTCCATCAGAATGATTGGGAGCGAAGAGTATTGGTTTGGTGAGTGAAGATGATCATATTCGTATTTTTTTTTAAATCATGAATCCTTATGAATGAGTGACATTGATGTACATTTGAAACAATCTTCAACAAACTGATTTGGTGTAGCAATAGGACTTTTTGGGTTGTATCTACTGTCTACTTACCTATTGTATCTACCTCGCACTGTCCTTTAGAATGAACCACGCTGGAAAACATGCACATCCAAGTGACACAACTCTATTTGGGATTGCTTTCTGTGCCAAATGTCTCCACACGTTTGTCCAGAACAGGTGAGCATTTCTTCATATCAGTGGGCTTAACTTCGTTAAAAAGGTAAGGTGCTTATTAGGTCACATGACCCCCCCCATAATGCCGACTATGGAAGACGAGACATGAGTATCCTGTTATCCAAGACTTCACCCTCTTCTGCCTCTTTCTTTCTCTTTTCTTTTGAGGCTGGGTTCAGTCTCGTGTAGCCCAGGTTGGCCTGGAACTCAACACAAACTGAAAAGGTCGCTCAAACCCAGGATTCTAGGGCCACCTACACCATGAGAGTGCAGGGACCTTTGCTGGGGTAGACCTTCATCACGACACTGAGGACGGCACACCAATCAGAATCTCTGATAGACAATTATGTACTTTTGATGATCCTTAACGGGACAGAGCAGTCTCTTGAGTGAGATAATAGACAAAAGTTTCTTTAAACATGGTGTTTCAGAAGAGAGATGTTTCTTATGGTCTTTGTAGGTAGAAAAAAATGTTTCTGAAGGAGTACTCCAATAAGGTTAATACGAATTATTTTTAGAAGAAGACTTTTCTAAACAGAGAAAAATTGAAAAGAAGTTCAAGGGAAGAAGCGATCAAGGCAACCCGTGGAGATAAAAACACAGACAAGTTTAAAAGATGGAGAGGTAAATTAAAGTGAGGGAGACAGAGACCAGAAGTGGGAAGGGCTGCACACGGCTTTCGTCCTCTCGCGCTGCCTTGGCAGGCGTGGACTCTTGGCCGACCCTCTCTATATGGTGCTTTTCTGGAGCTGGGAAGACCTGTGCAGTCAAAACAGATGCAAAACCTCGTCAATACTCGTCATTTGGCTTGGACGTCCTCCCAGAAAAGGTTTTCCAGGAGCCTCAGCAGCTCAGCGGGGTAACAGCAAACATGATGATGGTCCTTACCTGCTCAAGATTCCTCCAGCCTTCCTCTCCGAATCAACAAAATAGCAGAGGAGCCTGGCAGTGCCAGGACCCTCTGGTTGAGGCAGGACAGGGAAGACGATTCCATGTGTGGATGATCAGTCTTTCATCATGTGGTTCACCTTGGCCAAGTGTGAGTGTGGAGTCTCCACAGCAACAGACCTGTGAGCTCAGGGAGAGCCATTTCAACGCTCTGGTGGCTAGAACTCATTTGTGCCCGTCTGTCCTGTGCACATGTGGTCCTAATGAGGAAAACGAGCGGCCGTCTTCAGTGTATTATAGTCAGTGTCTCGCGTTTAGCCAAATAGCTGTCATTCATCCGTCCCATTCACTCAGCAAACATGTTCTAAATGCCTGCAAAGCGCCAGCTGCTGTTCCAGGAAGTAGGGATTCGGTCGTCAACAAGAACGACAAAGTCCCTGATTATGAAGTATTTACTATGCAGAAACCCAATGGGAAGATTGCCTTTTTAGCTGGGTGCAATCTAATCGATTTAATGTCAGAGTTACTTCACAAGCCTTTGCGCTTTTCAGAGGGTTTCAAAACTCTTCAATCAGGGACGCTAGTAGGGGGAAAGAGATGATCTTGGAACAGGGCTCAACCGAACAAACACGACATAAAGCATGATCCTCCAGGCCAGCCGTACCTAGGAGCATAATTCCTTCTGTGCAAGGCCGGGTGACTGTCGACGGGGACAGGTTCCTAGCTCATGGCCATTTCAAAGGACACAGAAGACCATCTCATAGGATTATACTGAAACCTGTTTTAGATTAAATTCTTTGGCCATTTGACACCCTAGTAGCCCGGCCAGATTTGTATTTATGAGAGAGAGAGAGAGAGAGAGAGAGAGAGAGAGAGACCTTCCTAATAAAAACAAGGAGACAGAAGATCATATCTCTTCTACTGAGATAGAAATGAGAAAAATGAGAAGAAATGGGGAACAAACCCCTGCCTCTGATGTATTGTCTGCAAAGTTCGGGTGCACCAGGAGCATTCACAGAGTCTCCTGTGCCCTCCAGTGCAAAACCCCACTAGCCACTGCTTCCTAAGGCCGAGGATCAAATCTCATATTTCTGCTTAAACAACAGCAGCAATGAATATTCATCTCCGGGTGACGATGGTCAAGCATTTGACAGAACTAAGCACAGGAAGTACCAAAGAACTCTGCCTCCAGCTTCCAGGGGCTAATCTAATGTTCCTTCCGAGTTTGAGGAAGGCTGCCGAGGAGGGAAATAAAAAAGAAATGCAAATTTGGGGTTTCCACCTGGAGACGGGTGGCATTAGAAACGGATGCAGAACAGATAAAGCGAGAACACAGAGGCAATGTTCTTTCAGAAATTGGTGGCATAAATCACTCAGCTGTGTTTGTCTCCAGGCTAGCTAACACTCAGTCACACCCGTCACTCTCACGCTAGGCTTTCACAGATACCAGCTCTACGAGCCAGGAGCCTGGCGAGCGGCTCCTCTTGACACCTACAAGAGGTCTTCGAACTTATTTCTGTACCGACGCGTACCATCTGAGGGAACATCCTGTAGCTAATGAAGCAGTTCTTAAAAATGGCTTCCTAATGAGCTCGAGCTCGTTTTTCAGGGCTTAAAACAAACACACTGTCTGCTAGCTGGCTGCTGGGAAGCAGAAGACACCTCAAGGGTTAATCTGCTGGGGTCTGAGACTGCTGATTCATTCCAGATGGCTTCTGCTTGCAGGTCCAGGAGCTGATTGTCACTTGCGGTGATTCTTGAATTTGACTTTATACTTGTTATTAGGAAGCACTTCTACATCAAATTATTTACTACTAAATTAATCCTGGGAGCTGGGACTGCTGAAGTACAGACTTTAAACCACAGCGGAATGACCCCTGAAATGGAAGGTGGCGCCTGGTGTTTAGGGCTCTGTGGTAGAGAGATGAATGAACTATGACCCACCACTCCCGCTGACATGCGACCGAATCTGTGCATCCGACGGCACTTTGTCTGGTAGACGTACGCCCACAAACATACCTGCTGCCTCCTTTATGTGGTGGGTCATAGCACAGACTCAGAAATTCTGGTTCTGTCGGTGATTAACCCTCTGTCTGCCTTGGAGACAGAGGCTAATCATGCTCTACCTGCAGAGCTGCTGTAGATGCCACCCGAGGTGGTGCTGGTAGGCGAGGAGATGCTCGCAAAGTTGGTGGTGCCTAGGAAGAATTGGCGAGTCCGTAAAGGAAGGGTGGGGCTATCATATCTAGTTCTCCCACGCCAGCATGCCAGGGATCGCGAGATGCTCCACGGTTGAATACACAGCTGTAGAAGAAGAAACAAGTCCTCAAGTCCCGTCTGAGCATCCGTGGGGTCTTTCTCATGCTACTGCATACTTAGCTTTTTTATTTTACACGCAGGAAGAGAAGTTTGGGAGGAAGCAGATTCTTACCATAGCATAGACATACATGTCCTTAGACATACAAAGGACGCAACCAGTGAGGGTATAAGAACTTAGAGACTAAATTTCTAAACTTGAATCCATCATCTGACCCCTCATTGACTCTGTGTGCACAGGAGTGTGAATGTGTGTGTGTGTGTGTGTGTGTGTACATACATGTGTGTAGTTGCGTATGCCTGTGTGTAGAGATCAGAGGTTGCCCTGGATGTCTTCCTCAATCACTCTCTATCCTATTGTTTGAATGTGTGTGTGTGTGTGTGTGTGTACATACATGTGTGTAGTTGCGTATGCCTGTGTGTAGAGGTCAGAGGTTGCCCTGGATGTCTTCCTCAATCGCTCTCATCCTATTGTTTGAAACAAGGTTATTGTGGAGCGCAGAGCTAGCTGGATCGCGTGGCTGGATGACCAGAAAGCCCAGGGACCCTCCTTTCTCTGTCTTGCCAGCTCTAGGTTTACAGCACCGAGGCCGCTCTCGGCTTTCTCCTGTGGATGCTGAGGTTCCGAACTCAAGTCCTAATATTTTCGTACGGCAAGCCCTTTGACAATAGAACCACCTCCCTGACCCTGTAAATGACTTTTGACCCATCATAGCTGGTGGGTTTTTCATAGATGCTGGCTCATCTTTGAAGCCGCTGACACCCATTTTGTAAATCTTCCTGCCTGTCCTCCTCAGATCTTATGAAATGATGGATCAGTGAGGTGTTTATCCAGCAGCTGGAGGAACATTCTTTCTCCACAGTGAATCGTGGAAACTGAACCCAAGAGATGCCACCTGGGTGGTGTCATGCTGTAGGGACATGTGTATAAAAGTAACACCCCAAGTTGATATGTCACAACTGACAGAATACAGAATTTTTCTCTGTCGGTTTTTTTGTTTTCTCATATGAATAAAATGATGTGTGTCAATCAATATCACTAGTCAAAACAAGACAGAGAGTTAGACACTTTTCCTCAGAATCTAAGTATTGACTTTAACAGTGTCCGTGACAGTCTAGCACGTACTTGCTATCCACTCACCGAGCATCTATTGAAAGTCTGCTCTACGGATGTATTCTAGGGAAGGTTTAGAATACAAAAGAGTAAGTTTCAGACACCCACAAAAAGCAATAGACCCGGCCTCGGGTGAGCTTGGGAAAGCCAATACTGAAGGCGGTAACTCAAGGGACATAGAACGTGTGTGATGTGTAGCATGAAGGGGATTTCCATGGGGTATGCTTGAGTATGAGACAGAAATATCAGATATTAGTGCTTCAGGCCTGCAAAGGAGGATAAAGCATTGCCAACAAAGGCAAATTTTTCAAAGAAAAAGCTACATTTTCCAATATTTTCCCCAATTTTACTTTAAGGTCCCAGCCTTGTTCCTTGCACTGAGAGATTAGAATCATTTCTCTGTCTCTCTCTGTCTGTCTCTTTCCCCCCTCTCTCTGTCTCTCTCTGTCTCTCTCTTTCTCTCCTCTCTCTCTCTCCTCTCTCCCCCGCCTCTTTCTCATTGCTCATTTATAACTTTTATCTCTTTTCCTCCTGGGGGTTATTTGCTTATTTAGAGAAACTTTTTATGTACTCTAGATGATAATCTATAATAATTAAACGTTTTGCAAACAGATTCTCCCATCCCATTGCTTTTTTTTAACTTGCTAGTAGAAGCGTGCATCTCCTGACAGTTTTCAATATTCCC